TTTTTTTTCCTGCCATTAATAAGTTGTAATGGCACTTTTTAAATGAGATGGGAGAGATATATTTTTATGATGTACATAACCTGTTCTGGTAGGATTAAAAAATAATTATAGTGACTGAAGATAGCTTTAAAAATAATTTTATCTTGACTACAATTACATTTTCCTGTGCAGCCTCATCCTACCAATATACCATTAGCGTAGTACAGTTACTAGCGTGTTTGTTATTTTGCAGGCAAAGTGCATAAACTCATCATGAAATAAACGTACATGATAAAATATAATGTAATACAAGAGAAGTTATTTTTACAAGTTCCTAAATGTAAACGTCCCACTTTCTTTGCATGCAGTGGTGGAAGAAGCAATTTTCAGTGATATGATTAAATGAGTATCAGCACTTTGATTAGTCGGTGTCAGTAATTGTTTGTTAACCATCGGCCATAATACAGGAACATACTTGTTTTGGCCTAAATTATTATTTCTAAACCTTTTCTTAAGTTGCCATTTTTGTAGTTGAGTAATGTGTATAAGGCAACAAATCGTTTGGAAGATTTTGTCAATAAAGCCAAACCACTTTTTGGATTAATCTTAAGTGGAAATGTATGAGGACTGTAAAACAAGTGTGGGGATTGGTACTGATGTATAGTTTGGACACTAGATCACTTTCTTTTAAAACAAGCAGCCGTTCTTGCTGATGGATCATAACCTTCCTCACCGCGCCTCATCTCAGGATTAATTCTCTAAGTGTACTTATCTATTTCTTATTACAGGTATTTATATAGCGCCAACAATTTACACAGCGCTTTACATAGTTACACATTCACATCAGTCCCTGCTCTCAATCGAAGGTCCCCATCTCGCATACATACTTTCTCTTTAATGTATTTACGGTCCCTCAGAATGGAATTAGTCCATCTGACCATTGAAATTCCCACTCACAAATAACATGTAAAATGTTGTGGGATGTGTTAACATTAAATTGTGTAATTGTTTGCCAAGAATGAACCTGAACAAAATGTTTTAACTTCGACTCAGAGATGTAACCAAACAAAACCTGTAACTTCTGGTGTGAGATGGACATCCTATGAATGTGGACATTGTGTTGTATCTATCACATAAAAAGACAATGCGACTACTAATTATAACGTTCGACATAAACACTATTATTCCTCATAACAATCTGACAATACACTTGCTGGATCTGAAAGTATATATGGAAAAGATTTCCTGCTTATGCTGTTTAACACAGCCCCGCCCCCGAGCATGAATATTCCCAGAGCTCATTGCTGCAGGGTAAGGCTGCCAAATGCCAGTCATCCTGTTTTGTCACACAGCCTTTCACCTAATATGGGAAACAATACAGAGTCATTTTCGCTCATCCTTGGCTATTCTCTGTAAATTGACTAACCCTTGCTATAAGTGTACTCTTCAGCCTGCTGATAGTACATATTTAGGCTTTTTCCATTTCTGAAGGCTGATTGGTGAAGGTTACAATGACAGTTTTAGAGGGGGGAAAAAAAAAAAGGTCCTCTCCAGGTCCAACACAATATTGGGCAAGCTGTGTTTTTTGGATTCTTTCCTGTTTTCTGTTCTTTAGATGTAAACAGGACTGATCCTGGCTATGCTGCTGAATTTTCTCCACGTTCCTGGAAAAACAGATTTCCATTTAAGCATCTTGGACTATTAGCTAATTTTGGGCAGGGTCCTCCTCAACCTACTGATTCCGTATGTCAGTGATGCTTGTCTAAACGATTGTACAGCACTGCGGGATATGTCAGCGCTATCTAAGTAATTGGACTAAAAAGTTCCAGTGCAGTAAACCCAAGGAATTTGGTCAAGGTGCTATCACCTTGTTTTCTGTAAGTCCCATTCAGTCCCCTGAGAAGTGCACAGAATAAAAAGGAGGGAGGAGTTAAGGATTCTTGGAAATCTGTCTCAAGCATGAGTACTATTGCCATGGATGCAAGGAAGAAGATATATATATATATATGTTATTATTCTCCCCACGTGATTTATAACTTATGGAAGGAGGTACATTATAGTGTCTTAAATTCTTACATGAGCCTGTTGACTTAAAGCGTATCTAAACCCAAAATGTAGTATAATGCAGTTTTGCAGTTCTTGTATGAGGTGGCTGCGTTTTTTCTTTTTCCAGTCTTTTATTTTTACTTGAGAATCATGTGAAGAACCCATTTCCTGTACTCGCTCACTTCACTGTCTATGGAGGAAGCCGTGGTTGTCACCCAGTGTGACCTTCCATCTCCATTACGTGGGAGTTGGGTGTGATTCGTAGTTTACAGAAGGAAGATAAGATTGCTTTCACTTTGGGTCATTGGAAGTGACAAGGACACTTTCTGGGAGGATCCACAGGTATTTTCTGTACTCGCTGGAAACCTTAGGCTGAAAAATGAATGCAGCCACCACATCTAAGGACTTGTAAGCTGCAAAATATTACTTTTTTTTTTTTTTTTTTATTTTTTTTAG